TCCTACCGACCCAGTTCAAGTACCAGACGCCTCGACTTCTGCACTATGTCATTCAGGAGCTCCCGACACTACGACCAACCCTACTCCAGCACCTTTGGTAACTGACAGTACGGCACCTGCTACGGGTACCCTGGCCCATTCTGATACATATTCAGGACCCGCACCTCCTGGCGTTCCATTTCCGACGGAGTCAAGTTCTACACACAACTACCTCCATCGTGCTCAATTCTCTTCTCGCGTGGTTCACCAGATCCAATTCAAGGTCATTACCCACTCCAACAACACCAGGGAGCTATTCATTGAAGAAATTCCTTTGTTAGGGCATTCCCGATGTCGTGACCCTGAACACTATTTCTATGGTCTCTCCGGCAACTGGGAGTGGTCCCTGCGCACAGCGGACTATTGGCGACATCATTTTGAGATTCCCCTTGTACATGGACACCATCCTTTTCACAATGTGCCCATTGAGACGACATCTCCTGGAGATGAACCAAGGCTGACCACCCGGATCCATGAATTAGCCAAAGATCTATCTGACACCTTGAAGGCTGCTACGGCATCGGGGGAATTCGATCAGACTTGGGCGATGGTTGAACGCATGAGCTTCCACGATGCTATGGAAGTCCTTCTACAAGCTCCGAATTCCTCTTCTGACTGAAGTGACCGCCCGTTTGTACCTTAGGTTATTACAGGTTCACTTTCACTGGTGTCTTGCCGATTCCGCCAGCGAAGTTCTTCCAAAAAACCGACCTCGCTACATGCGAGGTGTGTGTGTGTATCATCTGAACAGATGTAAAACTTCTGATTGGTTTTCACTAATTTGCAGGGGGTGGTAGCAGGGTCCAGAGTCTACCACCAACGAAGACACTCTGGCTTCCCTGGTGATACATGGCCTGATCAGCCATGCGTACCTGCAGCTCGAATTTTCCGAAATAGCAAGGGGCCAAGCTTAGAACCCCAACCACAATATTATACAATTTGCTGCACTGTTGTCGCAATCTGGAATCAATTTTGAAATTTACATGCATCAGAACCTTCCTCAGATTTTCGCCGAAACCATTTCGCCGACAGTATTATGTTTTTTGACTTATTTTCGCCGAGATCCTGTCGCCGACGAACTATGGGTTATTTTGGGAAACAATCGCCGAAACATTATTTTGGATTTCAACATGCTGGTCAAAACTCTATGGAATCTGGTTATGACTACGTTTGACAATTTCGGATGCCCTACATCGTTTTCGAGCAGTACCTCATGTGGCTCTTTTATTCATCAAATAATCTAGGCTGGTTTGCATGTTTCAGGATTCAGTTCCTGCCGGATCATATAATGATCCATTCTTGTCTAGTGTGTGTGTGTGTGTGCGAGTATGTGTGTGTGTGGTGTGCGGCCACGATCAAAGATGCCACACGCCAGGAAGTGCGGCGAAGGGCAATCGATGCGTGACCATTGATTATGTGTCCGCAAACGTACAGCGCAGACCATCACGAAAACGGATGGCCCACGACTGGCGTTTGGATGATGTGTGTGTGGGTGTGTGTGTGTGCGTGGGCGTGTATGTGTGGGTGTGTGTGTGTGTGTTTGTGTTTGTCTGTGTGTGTGTTTATCTGTGTGTGTGTGCGTGTGTGTGTGTATGTGTGTGTGTCTGTGTGTGTGTGAGTGCGGGTGTCGGCGTGGACCATGTACGCGATGAGGTCAGTACCTGGCAGGTAGTATCAGAAGTTGCGATCACGCTGAAATTGCAACAAAACAGCTGTCCATGGACAGTGCAGAAACAGCAAGTGACATACAAATAGCTGCAACTGTTTGCACAGAACCTGTTCTGAGCTGGGACGAACGCCATCTTTTCTTTCGATCACATTTGCATCGTGTTCAGGAGCATATAGTGTTTGTCCTGGCGCAACTGCTGAATAACGGTGGCATTGTGGTTGCCAAAAGCATTCAGCAGTTACGGCAGGAGGACTTAGCATCAAATGTATCTTCGCACGGCGCGTCATTCGATGTCTTTGTTCTCAACTCTCAGTTTGTAAGTACGTCCGAGACCAAAAAGGAGTAGATGAAAATCCAGAAACAGTCTCCATCCAGTCTGCCTGTAGTGATACCATTCTGGCAGACTGCATGCATGCTTTCCAGTGCTCCGACAGCTGTTATACCGCAAGAGTCTGCATCCGGTCTGCAGTGAAAAATCCAGAAAAATCCTCCATCCACGTGCCTCGATTGCATCAAACCTTGAGAAATGCCAAAGAACGCGGAAAGAAGAAACATGCCGGAAGGACCGCATCTTTGCATGCAAATGACCAAACTTAAACATGCCAAAATCAAACATGCCGAAGCACGTAGAAGGCCGACAGAAGAAATTACTTAAACATGCCAAAATCAAACATGCCGAAGCACGATTGGAGCCGTTGTCTGCAACTTCTAGTTGGGCCAAAGCGACCAAAACAGAACGACAAGAACAACATGATGAAAGTCTGCATGCAAGAAACAGAATCTGTCATGTCTGCGCTGCACAGCGTTGCTGAAGCGCAGTTGAGCCCTGCCTCTCGACCACGAGCAAGGACCGCATCTTTGCATGCAAATGACTAATTTCACTTGCCCAGTGCCATGAGTGCCACGCCTGCCACGCAAAACGACGGTGGATGTGAGTTTGTGCCACGCCTGCCACGCAAACCGACAGTAGATGTGAGTTTGTGCCACGCCTGCCACGCAAAGTGCCGCGGCGTCACGGGCGCCCAAGCCAGTCCAAGCGCGCCACCCAGTGCCATCTGTCCCACGCCTGCCACGCAAAACGACGGTGGATGTGAGTTTGTGCCACGCCTGCCACGCAAACCGACAGTAGATGTGAGTTTGTGCCACGCCTGCCACGCAAAGAGCCGCGGCGTCACGGGCGCCCAAGCCAGTCCAAGCGCGCCACCCAGTCCATGAGTGCCACGCCTGCCACGCAAACCGACGGTAGATGTGAGTTTGTGCCACGCCTGCCACGCAAACCGACAGTAGATGTGAGTTTGTGCCACGCCTGCCACGCAAAGTGCCGCGGCGTCACAGGCGCCCAAGCCAGTCCAAGCGCGCCACCCAGTGCCATGAGTGCCACGCCTGCCACGTGAAACGAAGGTAGATGTGAGTTTGTGCCACGCCTGCCACGTGAAACGAAGGTGGATGTCAGGTTGTGCCACGCCTGCCACGCAAAGTGCCGCGGCGTCACAGGCGCCCAAGCCAGTCCAAGCGCGCCACCCAGTGCCATGAGTGCCACGCCTGCCACGTGAAACGAAGGTAGATGTGAGTTTGTGCCACGCCTGCCACGTGAAACGAAGGTGGATGTCAGGTTTGTGCCACTCCTGCCACAAAGTGCCGCTTTCGTCACAGAGGCGCCCAAGCCCAGTCCAACGCCCCCCCAGTGCCATGGTGGCCACGCCTAGCCAACGTGAAACGAAGGTAGATGTGAGTTTTTTGTTCCAGGGGGGGGGGGGGGGGGGGGCGCCTGCCACGTGAAACGAAGGTGGATGTGAGGTTGTGCCACGCCTGCCACGCAAAGTGCCGCGGCGTCACAGGCGCCCAAGCCAGTCCAAGCGCGCCACCCAGTGCCATGAGTGCCACGCCTGCCACGTGAAACGAAGGTAGATGTGAGTTTGTGCCACGCCTGCCACGCAAAACGACGGTGGATGTGAGTTTGTGCCACGCCTGCCACGCAAAGTGCCGCGGCGTCACAGGCGCCCAAGCCAGTCCAAGCGCGCCACCCAGTGCCATGAGTGCCACGCCTGCCACGCAAAACGACGGTGGATGTGAGTTTGTGCCACGCCTGCCACTTGAAACGAAGGTGGATGTCAGGTTGTGGCACGCCTGCCACGCAAAGTGGCGCGGCGTCACGGGCGCCCAAGCCAGTCCAAGGGCGCCACCCAGTGTCATCTGTACCACGCCTGCCACGCAAAACGACGGTTGATGTGAGTTTGTGCCACGCCTGCCACGCAAAACGACAGTAGGTGTGAGTTTGTGCCACGCCTGCCACGCAAAGTGCCGCGGCGTCACAGGCGCCCAAGCCAGTCCAAGCGCGCCACCCAGTGCCATGAGTGCCACGCCTGCCACGCAAAACGACGGTAGATGTGAGTTAGTGCCCCAAGCGCGCCACACAGTACCATGAGTGCCACGCCTGCCATGCAAAACGACGGTGGATGCGAGTTTTGTGCCACGCCTGCCACGTAAAACAAAGGTGGATGTCACCAAGTGCCACGCCTGCCACGGATGTCACCAAGTGTGTTTTTGTGTGTGTGTGTTGTGTGTGTTGTGTGTGTGTTGTGTGTGTGTGTGTGTTGTTGTGTGTGTGTGAATGTCACCAAGTGTCTTTTGCGCGCGTGTGTGTGTGTTGTTGTGTTGTTGTGTTGTTGTTGTTGTTGTGTGTGTGTTGTTGTGCGTTGTGTCTGTTGGTGTGTGTGTGTGCGTGTTGTGTGTGTGTTGTTGTGTGTTGTGTCTGTTGGTGTGTGTGTGTGCGTGTGTGTTGTGTGTGTGTGTTGTGGTGACAAAGTGTATGTTGATAAAGCGTGTGTGGACAAAGTGTTTGTGGACAAAGTGTTTGTGGACAAAGTGTGTGGTGACAAAGTGTGTGTGGACAAAGTGTGTGTGGACAAAGTGTTTTGGACAAAGTGTTTGTTGATAAAGTGTGTGTGGACAAAGTGTGGAGGAGGGCGGAGGAGGAGAAGGCGGAGGAGGAGCCCGGGATACAGAATCAAAAACAAGAACCCCACACAAAGATGTGGGGAAAAACCCAACACCTGCCTGGAAAGAGACCTTTGGACCTTTTTTTTGGAGATTTTTCATTGAACTGACTCTGTGAGATTTTGGGAGTGGGTATTCCAAAAGAGAAGAGTAGCGCAGGAAGAATCCGGGAGGCGACGCCTCACTGACACCCCCGCCTCTTTGTCGGACCGGTCTTTCTCCTTTGACTGCATATTATTAGGTGCCCCTTCCACGATGCCGCGAGAGTCAGAGTGGTGCCCCATACTGTGCCAAGGCTTTGATGAGAACCTGAAGGCCTTGAGGGGTTTAGAGAAGGTTCTGCGAAAGTCTGTGGATAACCCCAACCTGACAGATGGTTCTCAAAATGAAAGCACACACACACACATATATATACATTATGTATATTCATCCGTATCCTCTTTATTTTTCAAGCCTTCTGTTGTGGCAATCTTGTATACGCATGCATATGTGTAATCAATCAATCTACCCATTGATGCGCTTATTGAGGACCTTGCCTTGCTTTTGCAGGCGGGCTTCTGGGGATGGAGCGACCTAGGACATGAAGTTCAGTACTTTTGTATCTGGAATTGGTCAATTGGATCAACAATTTGTTGTTGAGTGGAAATTGGAGCTGGAAGGGTTTTAGATGTAACGTACTTCCTTGTTCAAAACCTCTGATTTGTACAGGTTTGAATTCTTTTTTCTGGTTCCTCAGGGGCCTCGGGGGCCCACAAGTTTGTGGCAACTTCTGCCACTGCTCGCTATGCAGCTGCGCAGCGTGTGCAGGTCTTTCCGTGCGCCAAGGCCGGGGTTTGATGACGGCAGCGTTTTTGACGCTACAGAATCGGCTAGGGTATGTTCGCAAGCAAGTGGCGGGCTCGGCAGTCTGGACACATGGTGATGATGGGTATAATATATATATATATATATACTGTATATGTTATATACATGTAATATGTATATATATAACATAAATAATACACACACACATATACATATATATATATATATACACCATACAGTTATACAGTATAATAATACATGCTTATGATATACCATGTATAAGATCATTATGTAGTTTAGCATGGTGCAGGTCTGCAAAACATATTAGTTAGAGAGAGGAGATTGTAATGAAATGCAATATACAACATAAAATAATGAAATGAAATTAGGAAAAGTGTACTGCCATAACATTTTGCATAATATAATGCAAGAAAGTTTAATGATATAGAGTTTGTTTGCGTTTTTTTTTCAATGTAATAGAATCCAACACTATACAATACTGGTAATACTGGTGGTATAAAATATCCTTATTATATATATATAGTGTTTCATAATTGAATATCACAATATAAGGTATAGCCGCATCATATAACGCAAAGCAATATAACATGGTATAATATAACATAATATAGTAATAGCACAGAATATAATTCAATGCAATATCTTATCGTATAACAAAACATAACAAAATATAACTTGATATTTTGTAGGATTTTATGTTGTAACATAAAACAAGGCAAGACAAGACACGACAAGACAAGACAACACACTAGATTGATATATATATATAATAATAATATAACAGAAATATATATGCTCATATACGTGCAAATACATTTGCAACTAAACACTATAATATATATATATATACATGTATATGGAATGGTGTGATATGATCTAATATGTGCACATATGTTAGAATAAAACAACATATAGCATATAAATTTATTTCTTTTGTCATCCCCAAGCCCAAGTATTTTTTAAAAAATCGTCTCGGGGTGCAGGTGATCATGAGCTTCCGCAAGGACTTGGAAGCTCAGCTACTATCGCAGTCCTTCGCGTGCGCCGATTGCGCCTGGCAGCCCCTTCCAAAATTTCATGGGATGTATGATTAAGGACGGTTTGAACCGAACACTTGGTGATTCCAGATGATTTTAATCAGAAATGTCAGAACAAGTGCCGATTTTTTGAAAGAAGATGATTTGTTTCGAGCAAAAGAACGATCTACCAATAGACAAAATATGGCAGACACAATCCAACCGACCGGAGCCCAGAGCTGCCAGAGCTCACCTTTTCACAAAGGCTAGCAGCAATCCAGGATTGACATGGACTGACATTATCCAATTTTTTTTGGTGCTAATATCTCAACATTGATATTTGATGATAATCTGATTCTGCATGGGTTTGTCAATGTGTAAAGTTGGTGGTTCAACTCCCATGATGTTTTTTGATGTTTTTTGATGAAGGGGTTACAGTACATAAATATAACCATCATTCATCACTATTAGCCACTATTAACCACTATTAACCACTATTAACCACTATTAATCACCATAGAAATCACCAGTTATTTAAAAAAACAAGGATCCTCACGGGATCTTCCTCCAATCTCTGCAGATTGGGTGACTACCAGTACTTCATCACACAGCAGGCGAATGAGGCGAGATGGGCGATGCTAATCCCCATTTTGGTGAGCTGAGCAGCGGCCAAACCACTGTTGATTGCTTCTTGTATTTGGATAACATGGATAGATTATAATGATCTCAGGATACCTCAGGTCGTTTTCCCTTAAGTTACTGGAGTCATTCGTAGGACCTTAGGATCCGAGGAAGCATCTCCAAATAGCGGAACTGTTCAGCTTCGTGAACTATTATAATTTACCCTGATTGTATGCGGTTATACGATCCAGTATTAATTGGAGATAATCACAGTCTATGAGCTGGGAAATGCTATTAGTGTAACCAACCAGTCTAAAAGGGACAACGGAGGATTTTGAACGTTGCATTGCTCAACTGAGTTCAAACAACTTATTATTAGACCGCGTCAACCCAAATAACATGAGGCAGTTGGACATCTGCAGTTACCGATGGCATACATATATCAGATATATTAGGGTAAATTATGACGATCTTACTGCGACCTCACTGGAATCATGCTCAATAAAAGGAATCATTTGCTGTGGTCTTTATTTCAGTGAATGATCAAATTTTACTTTGCCCTGGTTTTTCCGCTGTGGTATATCAACATTTTGTGAGTTTGAACGAAATTCCATGATTCATTGGATTGGTTTCAGGGAAAATCTTAACCGGAAACCATAGTTTTTACCATCAAAGATAAAGTTTTCCCGTAAATTTTCCCATCATCCAATTCTATGAATGATGTGATGCTGATTTCGATGCGTTTCTCTCCATCGATTTCGATGCGCCATGAGCTGTGCCGGCCAGGCCATGAGAAGCTTTGCGCAGCAGCACGGTGATGGTAGGGTCTTCAGCATGGCTATGGAGGCTATGTGCGATGCACGTCGATCTTAAGTTTGGCTCCCAGGAATGGGATAACCCCCATGAACCCCCATGAAATCACCATTTTTGCTGGTGAAATCCCATGAAACCACCATTTTTTGCAGGGAAAACAACGATTCTCAAAGCATGATGCTACGGATGGGGGGGTGCCGGTAGGTGAACATCTTAGGATTGACTCACGGCTGGATGTCCGGCAGGAAGCTGTATGTACAGCTTCTACCAATAAGTCTCTATCTATACATCCACATACGCACACTCACACTTGAACACACACGCGCGCACACACACACACATAATTATATATATATACATACACAGTATATATGTGTACACGTAGATAGATTAGATGAGATCAGATTAGATTATATCGATGAGATCAGATTTGATTAGATATGATCAGATGAGATTAGATTGGATTATACCGATCAGACTGCATTAAATTAGATAGATGGATAGACTTGTATATACACATGCATACGCACGTAGACATATACCCATCCTAGGCCTGCAATCCACCGCCCCGTTGTTCCCATTGACCCCATTGACCATTCACACGGTTTTCATAGTCGTTTCCGGGTCAGGACTTGAACGTCACCACTTTCAACCGTTTGTTGACCTTCCTGGGCGAGGACGGCTGGACGGCTGGGGGAGCGACGAGCCGCGACCAAACAACATCACGTTGACGACAGGAGCGTTGCAGATCTGTGGCCGTGGTTCATGACAACGCTGCGAGCCGCAAGGGGGTAGGTCGGATAGATGGATAGGGCCAGATCTGCAGTGAGTTATTTTGGACGGTTTTAGTGTGCCATGAGCATCCCAAGCCTGACCGTGGCGCTTCGGCGCACTGAGGAAGGACGGCATTTTGCTACGACCTCACTGGCGCCCAAAGTGATTGAGTGTGACAGCCGATGAGAAAAGGGGCGGCTGGTAATGCCATGACGGATCCCGGAAGTGTGGAAGGACCATGATCATTCTTCCTCTGTGGCTTTGATATGTGGCTCAAAGATATGTATCCTCCAAACATTGGATGATTGTGCAAGAAGAAGACACGAACAATTTTGTGATTCCATCCCCATTCTTGAGCCAATTCCAATCCTAGTTTTCCATGGAAGATCCACCCTCAGCACAAATGCCCAGTTTTTCAACTTGTTTCTCCACTCTTGGTACAGCGCAGGAAGATGTAGGAAATTGGGCACGTGGACGTGGTCAGAAGAATATTTCATCCCAGAAACTCATGGAACTTTTGGCACCAATCAATTGTGGACGTGAGTGCCCTTGTGGATTGCAGGTCCTGTCCCATTTTTTGGTTGCGCCCAGAGCCCTATTTTGCTGATAAAATTGCATGTTTATCTGCTTTTTTTGGGGGTGCTGGTGAAAGTGCAAGCTTGCTGATTAGCTATGATTTTCGTGGCCAAATCCCTTTATCCATTTTGGCCGGCCAAAACACAATTTCTTTGATAGCACCATTTTGGCAGGGTCCCAGGGCCAATGTTGCCATGGCTGCACCTGGCGCCATGGGAACTCTTCTGGGAAGCAACGGTCAGTCAACCGAATTCGATATCCAGGCCTGGTGAAGCGCGATCCGACCGAAACCTGGAGTTGCTGAAGGTGGTGCCTTACCAGCTAATCTTAGCTAAGTTGGTTTACAAGCAGGCGAACTGGCATGGTGGATATGATTTTTTTCGAACTAGAAAGGTTGGGGAGCACCATCTGGAAGGAGATTTCATTATGATTTAACTTATATAATCCACCTTTGCAGGAATCTGCTGGTGACACTCAATATTGTTCACCATTGTTTTTGAGGGGGGACCCAACAAAAATCCAAGCAGAGATTCGTCCCAAACGTCCCTTTCAGTCTACATTTCGCCAAAAAAAAGCGACAAAATTGCCGCAAGATCATCATGATGATTCTTGACCCGATGTTCTATTCTTTTTTGATCTTTGGAAAGGGCCTCCGGTCCCCCGAGGAAAGGACGGAGGCCAGCCCGCTGATCGCAAGCTGTGCCGCCACCAGATGCGTGCGCGACTGCTAGACGCTGTTGAGTCTGATTGATACTTGGTGGTGAAATGGTGGTGAATGTGTGATTTGATCTCAGGTATAGATAGGTTGGTAGATGGGTAGACGGATGGATGGATAGATAGGCAGAGAAACATATAGATAGATAAATCCCACACAGATTCTACACAATATATTATATATACAGATATTTTAGAAAGCGGGACGCTGTGGAGGGCTGATTTTTACGATGTATTTTTTTTTGGTGCTTTTTCTTGCCCTATATATATTTATATATATACATTAATATATATAGGTATACAATGTGGTTCCTAAAGAAATGAATGTTGAAATGAATACAATATCATCTGACGCTCCGGCCCTTAGGTTACCCGGGAGCATCATTTATTCCAAGATCCATTGCGTAGGCAAATGTCCATTTTATATGATTTTTTCCAATGTTTTTTGTGTTTCTGAAGATGTGAACTCATCAGTTGTTGATCATGGGGCGCGCGGACATTTTTGAAAAATGTCCGTCGATGAGAAGCATCAATTTAACAAAATGTGTTGGTTTTGAAGAATGGAAGAGGCAAATTCCGTGGAAGGGTTGCCGATTTTATCAAGTGTCCGTACATAGTCATTAAAATGATGATGCAAAACCCGTGCGAACGCCAAGGAAAATGGAGATCCATTAAAATTCATTGCAAATACCAACACAATCTGTGTTTGCCACAGCGGCCCAAAAGCTGATAGTCACCCTTTTTTGCGCTTTTCACTGCGGTCACAAGTTCCACAAAGGTCCGTACATAGTCATTTCACTGAGAAGTGCCACAGCGTAGCATCAAGAACGTGTTAGACGTTGCAAGAAGAAGTGCCACACCCCCCCGAAACCTAACCCCCCCCCAACCACCCCCCCCCACCCCCCCACCCGAAACCCGAACCCCTGTTTTTGTTTCGACCTAATACCTACATAGGTACATGCATGAGTATTGAGCACATTTATATGCGCCCTTCAAGGCTCAAGAGGTAACCCTGTAGACAAGCACTGACCGGCAACAGGCTGAGAGTAAAAGAGTGCTGTCATTGGGGAAGACGCCTTAGCTGATCTTGAAGTAGACGCTAGGGCCCCTCTTCAAGTGGTAGCGGAGCTGTGATCCCTCATTGAGGGTGAGCTCCAGGAAGAGCCCAAGAAATGGCAAGCCATGGCTATGATGATGATGACTTCGACATTGTCGATGCAGATGAATGGAACCAATATGACTCTTATGCAATGAGAAGAGCACCCCAGCATACACAGATTCATATGACGCAACAGATGACCACAAAGGTTGCTCCAGCCTATGATGGGCGAACCAGCTTCTTTGTTTTTGAGGATGCAATTGATGACTGGTGTGACATTACGGAGTTAGAACCAGAGAAACGTGGTCCAGCATTGCGCAACAGACTGGAAGGAGATGCTCAACAATACAAGAGGCTATTGGATAGAGAATTACTCAGGGATCCCTATGAAGGAGTGGCTTATTTCAAAAGATTTCTACGACCTCATTTCATCAAAGGTGCCCAGAACGTGTTCTTATACCGTTTCATGCAGTCCATGAAGTTCAACAGAGGAACAATGGATCTTCAGAAGTGGATGACTAGATTTCAACTCACTGGCAATAGACTTATTGAGTCTTGGATGGATTTACTTCCAGAAGTAACAGTGACTAGTCCTGAAGCAATTCTGTTTGTTCAACAACGATGTCAAGAACATGAACGAGATCAACAAGAGAAAGCTGAAGTAGCAGCAGCCTCAGGAACACCCCATGTAGCTGTTCCTTGGACAGATGAACTGG